TCATAGCTCTGTGTGGCAAGTGTGGGGGCAATGTACTAGAAATACAGATTTATTGTTCTCTATTTTCTGAAACATAATCTTGAGCCATGCTCATTTTGGTTTAAGTTCCTTAGAGCTATTTGGGAGAGGATGGTGGGCCGGTCGTGGGTGGGGAGTTAAATCTGGTGTTTGTGGCTGTGCAGTTGGTGTGCATGTCACTGTAGAGTGACTGAGCTGCATGAGGAAGCCCACCATGTGGGTAAGTGGCCCTTGCTGTGGGCCAGACCTGCACAGGGGCTGCTGTCTGTGCTTGGAGGCTCAATCGGTGAGAATTCACAGGCTCAGAGTGTGGGACACACTGATGTTTACTGGGCGCTTGTGCCATGCTAGGCCCTGCTGGGGCTAGAGAAGTGGCAACAAAAGGGGCTCACCCTCAGGGAGGGGAGGCAGCAGTATGAAAGAGTGGCCTGGCATGTGGGCTGCTCCTCAGGCTGCTCCAGGTGGAAGCAAGCTCTTGGAATGCCTCTCCTCCCGTGTTTCTTAGAGTGCTCTGCGGATCTTGTTCAGTCCTCTCATTTTGGAGGATTATTTTGATGCTCAGAGGGTCATACCTTGCTTGGACGATTGGGCATGTCTTGGGAGAGGTGAGGGGACTTAAAGAGAGAGAGCAGCTCATTTACTCCACTGTAAGTGACCAAGAGGTCAGCAACCCAGAGTTGAGGGCTGGGAGCAGGTTTCCTTGGCCAGGACTGGGAGAGAGTCTCGGTATTCTCATGCAGCAACTCCTGCGCAGAGGGTGCTCCTTGTCTGCTGGATCGTGATGGCCCTATGGTCCACCACTCGGATATGGGAGTCTCCCAGTGGGGGCTTGTGGAAAAAGCAACCCAGTGGGCTGGTTTGCATCTGCCTGAGCATGGGGGTCAGAGACCAGAGCACTCACTCTGAGGCCTCTTGGGCCTCCTTGGTCTCCATGTCTCTGTTTGATGGCCACTCTGCTTTTACCTCTGACTTAGGGGGCATGTGGTGTGACAGTCCTATTTGTTCACTGGTAGGCTGTGCAAGAGCCAAGGAAAAACATTTCACAACTCTTGTGAGGTGGTGATGGATGGGGGTATACCTGGCTAGGTTTTTCCAGTGTAGCTGTTGTGGGCACAGTGGTCAGAGTTCAGGCATGCAGGGGTCTCAGTGAGTCAGGTGGGAGGGAGTGTGGAGGGTGGAGAGGTCTGGACAAGCTGCTGGGGGCAGCAGAGTAAGAGTCAGTATGACTGTGAAATCTAATCCAATCACTATGGACTCCTTTGTTTTGCCTGTTTTTTGTTTTTTTAAACTTTCTCCATTGATGCTCTGCCATTTGAAGAAACCAGACAGTGTGGTGAAATGACTGAGTGTGGGTCCAGCCAAGCTTGAGGGCCGAATATCACTGGGTCCAGAGGGAGAGTAGTGTGGGAGGCCAGTCCATGTCTAGTGCTCATGATTGAATAAGCAGGGTCATCTCACGAAAGATTCTGACTGCTCTTTTGGAGGTGGGGAGAGGGAGGCCCTGGTTGAGCCTTCGAAGCATCCCTTCCAGTGGACCTGGCCTGGAGTCAGATGGAGACCAGGGCTTCAGGCAGGTGGGCACCTCTGGCCGTTGGGGGCAGGCTGGAATCCACATGGCTGAAGGCCCAGCCAAGAGCTGCTGCTCAGAGTCACACTCAGAAGTCACTGAGGAGGCGCCCAGGGGCCAACCTTGCCTGTGGGAGGGAACAACTTGGCAATATGCCTGTCCCAAGCTGGGGTCCTGATGCCTTGAGAGTGCTTAATTGAATAGAAGGCATAAGCTACCATGAGAATAGAACAATCTCAAAGAACTTGCCTCATTATCTGATCACTAGCAATGATAAGACGTGACTCTCCCCAAGCCCCCATGGCTTGGAAACTTAAGAATGCACTCACAAGTAACTAACGGATTAAAGAGGAAATCGTGGTGGAAGCTAAACATTTGGAAGTGAACGACAGTGAAAATATTGCATACTGGAAACTTCTGGGATCTATCTGAGGAGGCACATTTGTAACCTTAAATGAATTTGTTTAAAACTGAGAAAGATTGAAAATAACTGAGTTAAGAGCTCAATGCAGGAGGCGACAGAAAGGACACAGAGAAAAAGGAGACCTTTTGTAGCTCAGAGTTTGAGGAGCAGTGAGTAGTCCAGTGGGCTGGAGCATTGATGAGGGGAGAAGGAGAGGGCTTGCAAAGTTGGGATGGAAAGAGGTAGAGGGTGCGCTAGATTGTCTGGAGCCTCGCAGTCCACACCTTGAAGCATGTCAGCAGCAGAGTCCTGTCTGTATTCTAGTCCATGTTGGCTTCGGCCCACAGTGAAGACCAGGGCCGGCCTTTCCAGGAGCGCGGAGGTACCTGATGCAGAGGCCACAAAGTTCTCTTGACAGATGGTCACTGCTGGGGAGGACTGCGGGCCCCACACAGTATGCTTGTTGCTCACTCCACCCTCAGAGTTTCCTGAGGCTTGGTCTCTGGGGAAAACACTAGCACGTCTTAGCTGGAGGATTCCTACCTCCTGTGCTCTGGTCCTGATCCCTCTGCTAGGCTGTGGGCTGCATTCTTCAGTGGTTCTGCTGCTGTTGTCACTGCTCTGTCTCTGACATCTTGTTCCCAATTTGGCATCTGGTGGTTGAGCAAGGACAAAGGAGAGTGACCTGTGAGTGTTTGCTTGGTCCCTTACTTGCTATGCCTTCTTGGAAATGTGCCATTACTCAGTGAGCTCTGGGCAGGCAAAGGGCCCCGTCTTTTTGACACTGCATGTACTGGTTTCCTTCTCTTTTCTCTGTTCCTTTGTTTTTCCCCCAAATGAAAATAGTTTTGTTGTTTTGTTTTTATATTATTGTAGCGATGCCAAATACTCATTGTTCAAAAATTCAAAGTATGGAAAATGACAGAGATTCCCAAGAATTAAGTAAAAGTTACCTGCAATTGTACCCCCTAACCCCCCCATTAATCCCTGTTAGTGGTGTCTGTCCACCTGACTTAGGGGGCATGTGGTGAGTGTCTGAGTGATGCACACCCTCCCTCTGTCCCACACTCAGGCCCTGCACATGTGGCCAGTGTTATGCAAATGGGGCCATACAGCCTATGACGCCTTGTACCTGGTATTGCACACCCACTGTTGGTATTGGGCATTGTTCCCCATCAGTAAAAGTGGGTCTACTTTATCTTGATTAATGGCAGCTTAGGCTTCCTAGGGTTGCTGGGGGTGGAGCACGCCTGTGCCCTTGTGGCTCCACCTGTGTGGAGAAGGCAGGTAATGGGACAGGCTGGAGGCTTTGCCTTGTGTCTTAAGGCTTGTTTTCCCAACTTGGACATGGCACTCTTATGGTTTGAATGTGTCTCCCAAAGTTCACATGTTGGATACTTGATCTCCAATGTGGCAGTGTTGGGAGATGGGGCCTAATGGGAGGTGTTTGGGTTGTGGAGACACCACCCTCATGAATGGATTAATGCCATTATAGTGTGAGTGGACTCCTTATAAAAGGACGAGTGTGGCCCCCTTTTTTTCTCTCTCACCCTCTTTGTCCTTCCACCATGGGATGACACAGCAAGAAGACCCTCACCAGATGCCAGCCCCTTTCTCTTAGACTTCCCAGCCTCCAGAAATGTGAGCCAATAAATGTCTTCATTAGAAATTACCCAGTCTCAGGTGTTCTGTTATAGAAGCACAGACCGTCCTCTGAGGGCTGCATGGGTTAATGCGGGTGAAGTGCCCCAGCTAGCCTGAGTGCCGTGCAGCAGCTGGTGTGGTGCTCACTCTCTTCTTCATCACTGCCTCTGAGAGCCCCTCTGAGAGGAAGAACCGTAGGTGGGTTCGGAAGTATGGGTGATCTGTTCCTTCCTGTCCAGTATGCCTGAGCCTGGGTGGCATCTCTCAGCTTACCCATATCCTGCAGGTGAGCAGAAGCTGTCTTGCTCCACAGCCTTCGGTCCCTTTTTCAGCCCCAAACTTGCTGGTCTTTTCTGGCATTGAGTGGAAGGTGCCTCCCAGTGTTCCTCTCGCCTATGGCTCAGCCGTGGCTCTGCTGCTAGAGGCCCCTGTCATGGGCAGTTGGGACTCCCTACAGTGGTCTGGAGTAACTGAGGTGACCTTTGTGATGGCAGCCATGCTGTTCTCATCTAGGAGAGAGCCTCTTTTATCTGGCTTTGCTTGGAGAATGTCAGGTACTGGCCACAATAAAACTTTGACTGGGAGGGAGAGATGGTTGTAGCTGTGGTCATGGTTTTGTGACTAAACAGATTCCTGCTCTGTGTATCTTTCTGAAATGGATTTCAGGCACGTGGGGAAGATAGTTCCTTCTTTACCAGGAGATCATGCACCTCCCTACTCCCCCAGGCCTGGACATGCTCACTGGCCCTCAGAACATTGCCTGGCATTCCCATTCAGGTGGTTATGCAGAGCTCCAGCACCTGGGAAGCCAGAGTGGCACGTCTCCCCCCAGGGCCTGAACATAAGGAAAGTGACTCGTTCAAGGGGTGCTTCATGTCAAGGACCTCCGACTGTCCTGTCTGCTTGAGCCATTGGCTCCTCCTCTGGTCTCCCAACTTCTCTGGTCAGCAATAGGGCATTATGGGAGAGGAGCATGGCCTGGCTCAGAGGGACTGAATTCAGGTCCCAGTGCTGAGTCTGGGGCTTTTCAGTGCATCTCTGTGACCTCCGGTTTCTCACTGGGGAAGCAGGGACAGTGATGCCAGCCCATCTGGCTGCCAGTGTGGACTGTCCCTTTAACTCATCTCTGCCCATCCATGATCGCATGGGCTATATCCTGTTGGGGAGCCCAGGACCAGAGTTCTCAGCTGTGGCACTTGCATCTGGCCACAAGCGGGCTCCTCAGCCGAAGGTTGGGGAGGACTGTGGGCTGAATGGGCTCTCAGTCCTTTCTCCTGCTGCTGCTGTCATTCAGGAATTTCTGGTTTTCTTCTGTGCACTTAGAATCTAGAGTGACCATTGCTGTTTGTTCTTTTTTTGTTCTGCTAGGGACCAGCCACCACCGTTGCCTTTTCAAGGACGGGGGAGTATTTTGCTTCTGGAGGCGCTGATGAACAGGTAAGTAAAGAGTGGTGTGAGGAATCCGCGCTGATGCTACTCAGCACCAAACAGGAGGCCAGAGACTGTCTTGGGGACGGGCTGGGTTTCACAGCTTCCTCGGTGGCTTTTAGCAACCGAGAAGGCCCTGCTGGAGCTTGGGACGGGGACACTCAGAAGCAGGGCCCTTGCCACTCCAGAGCGGGTCTCCTGCAGGTGCTGCCCTTATGGCAGCATCTTAGAACCCTCACTGCTCAAACTAGCATGGGTTGGAAGGAGTCTGGCTATTGCTGCCAAGAAAAAGCTGATGTTTTTTAGTTCTTTTCCTGATTATAAACAAATATATAATGATTATTGGGTACTTACTGCAGGCCTGGTAATGTGGCCAACGTGACAAGAGCTTCAGACCTTATTTAATTCTCATAACAGCTCTATGAGTCAGGCCTTCTCATCTCCCCATTCTGTAGATGAGGAAACTGAGTCCCAGCAGATGGCAGATCTGGGACAGGCACTGGGGCCCGTCTGACTTCAGACTTGTTCCCCTGTGCTGGGAGCCTCTACTCTGTCATCTGCTGCCCTTTGCTCCCCAGCCTGCTTGTGCAGTTTGAGGGGCCAGCATTTGCAATATCCTTGGCTGCAGAGAGAGGACATTGTGAGGAGGTCCTGTCCTGCCTTGTCACCGTTTGCACTGAGGCTTCAGCCTGTCAGCCCTGGTGCCTCCTGCCCAGACTGCTAAATACAATAGTCTGTCTCTTGGCAGGCACCCTGCCCCTGGGGTCTAGCCCAGAGCCTGGCACCAGGGAGGCCGGGAACACTGAAGAGTCCACCCGTCAACAGTCTTTCTCCAGAGTGTCTGCAGAGTGCTTCTTGTCCAGAGAACTGCACTCTCCCGAGGTGGGGAGGAAAGGGTGGCTGTTACGAGCCACCAGGTAGATTGCTGAGAATATTTATCCCATTGATGCTGGGCCTCACAGCTCTGGCTGCGTAGCCCAGAAAAGTCCCACCAGCCCTACATGAGCCCTGGCCCCAGCCACTCGTACCAATTTTGGTTGGAGACTCTTTGACCACAGCCTGGCATCTTCTCACACTGGCACCAGTCTCCACACTAGCAGACAAGGGGGGAGGAAGGCAAGGGACCCCTGAGCCTTCCCTGAGCTTGGAGGCCTGGCTTGTTGCTGAGAAGACAGGGAAACTGGTATAGTAAATCCACACAATAAAATAAAATAAATTCATATAGTATGAGAGGCAGCCTGGTGGAAAGTAGAGCTTCTACCCACTCTGGCCCCTCCTCAAGCAGCCACTGCTATCTGCTGCCAGGCTCCTTTTTAAAGCCTGCTCTGAGAGCTTTTTTGGAGGGACATTTGGCATTATCTCTTTACATTCATGATAGCCACTCTGCTCCCAGGAATTTATTTAGCTATTAGATTTGCACAGTTCTACAAGCACCCTGTAAACACGGGGGTGTATGTGCTGATGTTCGGTTTGTAAGGTGATGAGAGAGACCCTGGGTGCCCATCCATTTGGGAGCAGTAAGCAGTGGAGCTGCTCAGGGAGTTGTGAGGAGCCTCCCAAAAAACCCGGCTCACAGCTGCATCCCGAAGGGGATGGTGTCCAGGGCACCTCGAGTGTTCATCTTGTGTGGATACAGTGGTTTTTCTGTGACCTCAGTTGACCACTACCCGTGCTCCGCTATTCCTTTTGTGAAGCTCAAGCCAGCCATCCTGGAAGTGTTCCTAGAAGCACATGGCCACATGTGTCCAACAGCCTCCAGCAGGGGGTGCTCTCGTTCCCCCTCGCTTTCACGGAGGGGCCTTGGGACACAATCCTGTTTATAGCAGGATGCTCAGAGCGGGCTGTGTTTTTTACAGCTGAGCTCAGCCTTGGGATAACAGGTGTGTTACGGAGGGCTCCTTGGGTGCCAGTGTTTGTGCCAAGATGTCTCCTGCAAGCCTCACAGCAGCCCTGTGAGATGGGACCTAGGCTTATCCCCTTTTCACAGATGAGGGAACTGAGGCACAGAGTTTGAGTCCCTTGCCTATGGCCACATAGTAAGAGGTGGGGCCAGGATCTTAACCCCAGTAGTTTGGCCTGGAGTCCATATGTTAACCACTTCTTACAGTGTAACAGGGCAGGCCACCACCCTCACAGGAGCTTCTGTTTTAGTGGGGAGACAGATGATAAACAAGGAAAAGGGACACATGGATTAAATAGCTACTGACTCTGATGCTGTGAAGGAAATAAATAGAGGGCAATGATAAAAATTAGCAGGAGGCCAAGGAAGGCCTCTCTGAGAAGGTGGTGTTGAAGCAGACCCTTCAGCTTGAGAATGAGCCAGCCATGTGAAGCTTGGGCCCATAACACCCCAGGCAGAGGGACCAGCAAATGCCAAGACCTGCTGGTGCCACACAGTGATGCCCCTTCCTGGTGGCCCATCCAGATCTTTTTTTTTTTTTTTTTTTAATTTTATTTTGTCAATATACAATGTGGTTGATTATTGTGGCCTATCACCGAAACCTCCCTCCCTCCTCCCTCTCCCCCCTCCCACCCAACAATGTCCTTTCTGTTTGCTTGTCCTGTTAACCTCAAGGAGTTGTAATTGTTATGTCTTCTTCTCCCCACTGTTTTTTTTTGGTTTTTTTTTTGTGTGTGTGTGTGTGTGTGTGTGTGTGTGTGTGTGTGTGTGTGTGTGTG